GAGTAGAGGTCTTTTACCTCTTTAGTTAAGTTTATTCCTAGGTAGCTTAATTTTTTTGGTGCGATGGTAAATGGGATTGTTTTTATAATCTCTCTTTCTGAAAGTTCACTATTGGTGTATAGAAATGCCTCAGATTTCTTGGGGTTAATTTTGTATCCTGCTACATTGCCAAATTCATGTATTAAGTCTAGTAGTTTTTTGATGGAGTCTCTAGGGTTTTGTATGTATAATATCATGTCGTCTGCAAATAAGGACAGTTTTACTTCCTCTTTTCCAATTTGGATGCCTTTTATTTCTTCTTCTTGTCTAATTGCAATGGCTAATACTTCCAGGACTATGTTGAACAGGAGTGGTGAGAGTGGGCATCCCTGTCTTGTTCCTGTTCTTAGGGGAAATGGTGTTAGTTTTTGTCCATTGAGTATGATGTTGGCTGTGGGCCTGTCATATATGGCTTTTATTATGTTGAGGTATGATCCTTCTATTCCCACCTTGCTGAGAGTTTTTATCAAAAATGGGTGTTGGATTTTGTCGAATGCTTTTTCTGCATCAATTGATATGACCATGTGGTTTTTTTCTTTCAATTTGTTTATGTGATGTATTACGTTTATTGATTTACGGATGTTGTACCATCCTTGCATTCCTGGGATAAATCCTACTTGGTCATGGTGTATGATCTTTCTGATGTACTGTTGGATCCGATTTGCTAAGATTTTGTTGAGGATTTTGGCATCTATGTTCATGAGGGATATTGGCCTGTAATTCTCTTTCATTGTGTTGTCTTTACCTGGTTTTGGTATTAGGGTGATGCTGGCTTCATAGAATGAGCTTGGAAGTGTTCCTTCCTCCTGAATTTTTTGTAGTAGTCTGAGGAGGATAGGTTTTAGTTCTTCCTTGAAAGTTTGGTAAAACTCCCCTGAGAAGCCATCTGGTCCTGGGCTTTTGTTTGCTGGGAGCTTTTTGATGACTGCTTCAATTTCTTCCATAGTTATTGGCCTATTGAGATTTTTAGATTCTTCCTGATTGAGTTTTGGAATGTTGTATTTTCCTAGGAATTTGTCCATTTCCTCCAGGTTGTCTAGTTTGTTGGAGTAGAGCTGTCCATAGTATTGTTTAACAATCATTTGTATTTCTGTGGGGTCTGTTGTTATTTCGCCTCTATCATTTCTGATTTGGTTTATTTGGGTCCTCTCTCTTTGCTTTTTGGTGAGCCTGGCTAGAGGTTTGTCGATCTTGTTTATCCTTTCAAAGAACCAGCTCTTGGTTTCATTGATTTTCTGTATTGTTTTTTTGGTCTCTATGTCATTTATTTCTGCTCTAATCTTTATTATCTCCTTCCTTCTGCTCACTCTGGGGTTTTCTTGTTGCTCTCTTTCTAATTCTTTGAGTTGTAGAGTTAGATGATTTACTACCATTTTTTCTTGTTTTTTGAGGTAGGCCTGTAGAGCTATAAACTTCCCTCTCAGGACTGCTTTCATTGTGTCCCATAGGTTTTGGATTGTTGTGTTTTCATTGTCATTAGTTTCCAGGATGTTTTTAATTTCTTCTTTGATGTCATTGGTAACCCAATCAATATTTAATAACATGCTATTCAGCTTCCAAGTGTTTGAGTATTTTGGGTTGTTTTTATTGTAGTTTATTTCTAACATTATGCCATCGTGGTCTGAGAAGAAGCTTTTTATGATTTCAATCTTCTTGAATTTGTGGAGACTTTGCTTGTGACCCAATATGTGGTCTATTTTTGAATATGTCCCATGAGCACCTGAGAGGAATGTATATTCCATGGCTTTGGGGTGAAGTGTTCTGAAGATGTCAATTAAGTCCATCTGATCTAGTGAGTCATTTAGGATTGCTGTTTCTTTGCTGATTGTTTGTCTAGCGGGCTTATCCAGTGGTGTCAGTGGTGTATTAAAGTCCCCTACTATGATTGTATTGTTGTCGATCTCTCCTTTGATATCTTCCAGGAGTTTTTTTATGTATTTGGGTGCTCCTGCATTGGGTGCATATATGTTTACCAGGGTTATATCTTCTTGTTGTATTGATCCCTTTAGTATTATGAAGTGGCCTTCCTTATCTCTTGTTATGGCCTTCACTTTGAGGTCTATTTTGTCCAATATAAGTATTGCTACCCCAGCTTTTTTTTTCATTTCCATTTGCCTGAAAGATATTTTTCCATCCCTTCACTTTCAGTCTGTGTGAGTCCCTTCTTCTGAGGTGGGTCTCTTGTAGACAGCAAATGTATGGGTCATTTTTTTTATCCATTCAGCCACTCGATGTCTTTTGGTTGGAGCATTTATTCCGTTTACGTTTAAAGTTATTATTGAAAGGTACTTGTTTGTAGCCATTTCTTTTTTTGTGTCACACTTCTTTTAACCAATGGACCTGGATTGTTCCAATGTCCATTGGTTGAGTGAAAATTGAACCCGTGGGCACCCTACCTGTTATCATGGAAGCAGAAATTCTTTTCTGCATTTTTTTTTTGTCATCTTTAATCTCAACATGACAACATAAAATATTTTGATTTGTTGTCTTGCCTACACATTTATATTGATAGAGCTCTTGGCCTGCATTACTTACTGTTTTTATCTTTTCACTTCTTTTGCCACTAACCACACATATTGCTGCATTAAGAGGCCTAGCCTTCGGACCTTGTCCTCTTCAGTTCCAGGCCACACAGAATCAGCAGCATGATCTTTCTCAAATACTGTTGTGATGCTTTCTCCTCTATTTAAGAATAGTTAGCAACTTCCTATTGTATGTTATGTCAAATATAAACCTTCTGCCCTAAGAGTTAACATTCTCCCTTTTTTTTGCCCTTTCTCTTTTAGCCATCTCACTTCTTCTTGCTCTTTGGAGCAGCTCTCTGTTACTTCTAAACCATCTGGTTGTTTTTAGCAAGGGAATTGCTTCTAACTGCTTCCTCCCTGTTCAGATATCACTCTTTGAATCACCAGGAGCCCACAGCTTCCTGAGGCAGACAATTCCATCTTTATTAACCCGAAATCAATGGTAGTATAAAGTTTTTACTGTTACCATTGTATGCATGTCAGTCTAAGGAGGCCTTCTTTCTTAGTTGTTCTGCATATGTGTGTTGTGTCTACAGTGGCACCTTTAAAAGCTGTAGGGGAGGATCTTTATATCTGACATTCCCACATTTCCATAACCTGACCTCCCCACCCCTCATCCCAGAACCACAACCGCTCAAACTCTACCTTTGTGCACAGACATGCCTAATACATATTTGATGACTAAACTGCATTCTAAATATGGAATTATTTATATGAAGAAGTGTATATACATAAGTATATACACCAGAGGATGATAATATCTTTACCTCAGCAATGGTTCTGTGAGTTTTAATTGTACGGATAGAATACAAGCCTGATCACATGCACTCACCAACCCCATACACACACAGCAAAATGCCTTCATATTACCAATTGTTTAACCAAGAAAACATTACATTTTGTATATTTATATGTAATTGGTTAACTGAGACAATGTTACAATGCTGTATCTCTCTCCAGACTTAGAATGACTTGGTTTTCTAAATATATAATGTACTATTATTTTCCAGGTCCTAGAACAATTGGCATATTTAGTTCCTTACCTGTTATGTGAAATTTTAAACAAATCAGGAAAAATATTGATAGGTTTTTCTACATTTTATAAAGTAGAAGTAAGCAAATATCCTGGCATTGTTAATATAAAAGGAGGCAATTATTACTTTCAAATTACCTATGCAGCCTGACCTTTTATTAGTATCTCTAAGTTGTTAGCATCTCTAAATGTCCTTGCACTTTAAACTATTTCAAAACTGGTGTTTCCATAACAATTTTAATTGAATCTCCTGGGATGTTAGTTTAATCATGGTAATCAGCCACAGCATATAATTAGATTTCAATCAGAAACGTTAATGCTATGTAATAATCTGAGAGTAGATGCATAAAAGTTACATCTAGGTAGGTTTCTTCTCCTGACCTCCCCCTATCCCACGCAAGTGCACTTAAAAGGTTGATAATTGACCGTAGAGAGCAGAGGTTGCTTTCACTTGTCCCACACAATGTGGAAAGTGTTGTCCAGGGCAGCTAGACTTTTCACTAAGGCTGTTACTTCCCTTATGACCAATAAAAACAGACTTCTTTGTAGAATGACTGCTTAGGGGTGAGAGTGCAACCCTGGGTCATGCCAGAGAATGAAGCTCTGGGGTGTGGCTGGCATGGGTGAGGTGGGTGGTGCAGGTGAGAAGGAACAGTGGGAGGGCTCATCTATAAGCCCACATTGCTCTACTCTACGGCGTTACAGGTCCTGAATTACCAGCAGGGAATTATTCTTTTTCAGTTATTAACATTAGATTTCTTTAAAGCCTACTTTTATGTCTTTCCATTAATCATCTATGTAATTTTAGAAGTCAAAATGCATGAGGCTCAGAGCTAATTATGCATTCTATTATGCCTTTAGATATCTGGATGAAAGTCATGTTCCAACACTCAGTCCCTTCCCTAAAACTCATTTCCACAAGTGATGATTTAATGATCTATTTACTTTAAAGGTTTGCCTTGGAGACAATGATTATCCTGGTTAGCTAGCTTGAAAGAATAGACATTTTCTCTCATGAAATATGTAACTCTTTAGAAAAATTATGTGGGCTTTGAAAATACATTTAATAAAATATGTTTTGACTATCCCCAGGTAGAGAGAACCCATTATGTTTATATAGCGTATCAGAGACATTGATTAACCATGGGAACCAACGAGCTGTGGAAGCAGTGTGGATGAGGGCAAATTGCAGTTTTGTTTTTCAAAGCCAGTATGTGTGAGTAATAAAAGAATGATAAAATGGCAGAATTCTTAAATGTGCTGATTGCTGATCAGTTTTCCCGGATCACTGTTTTATTATTCATATCACCATATGTATCACTAGCTTGCTAGGAGCACAAACATTAGTCTTACGTATGCTTTTTAATTTGATCTCTTAATTTCTTTTTTACTCTGCAGTTTTGAACGACATTTGTCTTCAGTACTAACATCCATGACTTCTATGTATAGGTGCTTTACTTGGTTACAATAAAGAAATATGCTCCTATTATTTCTAACAGCAGAGTGCAGTATTTTGCAAGCAGAGGTTCCTTTGTGATTTAGTATACATTCATTTTCGTTAGACTGTGTTTTTGAGCTCTTATAATACAGTTCAATCAAAATGTGTGCAAAACCCTTCTGCTATGAAGTTTACATTAATATTTTCTAAAACTCAAGTCAGAAATACGACTTCAACCAAGTTCTGGATTTAGTGAGAACAAAAGCAAGGTGGATGTTAGGAAGGGAAGGACTGTCTCCGTCTAGATGTCAGTCTCCACCCCAGAGCCACATTTGCGGCAGAAGATTTCCTTGTCCTGGGTCAGGAAGCCTTCCCCCACCAAGGAGACGGAGCACTTCCCACAGTTAAAGCATTCGCTGTGCCACTGACGGTCTTGAAAGCAGATAAACTTGGCACCTCTGAGACCTGTAAAAAATAGGAGAAAAAGAATAATCTATTCTTTCCATGAATAGATTGAGCATTCAATCAGGATCTCTTTTAGGAACTGGAGATGCAGAAAGATGACACTGAGGCAAGTAACCTCAACAGGAATGCTGCCCCCGGTGCTCTGTATCCATCTGGGACTATCACCCAGACAACAGGTTCCTCTGATGAGATCCAGTCTGATTCCCAGTGAAAACTTCCCATTATCTACACAAGTAGGTAGAATTTGGATATAAAAAGCACATAATTTTGGAAGCAGATAAGGACTGCTAAGACAGATAAGGAAATACAGTGTAGTGCACTGGGAATAGATACTCAAATAAGATATCTTTCTCTTTTCTCTTGTTGTGCCCTTGTTTTCTTAGAGGCAATATTAGGATAAAATAAAATAAAATTGTACTTCATAGCCTGATGTCTGATGTTTTGATGACTTTTAGTTCTCCTCCTTCTTTTTCCATTTTTAAATTTTACTTAGGATAAAGTTCTATGCTGACATTGTGGCTTGGGATACAATTTCCAAAAGCCCCAAATCTAGAACTTTATCCAGATTATCATGCAGCTAGCCTAACATGATGACCTCATTACCTTGCCCAGAGACAACTTCAGCTTGTGACAAAGATCTGTGGATCTGATCACTCTAAGACCAGGTTATCCCATGATTAGCTCCTAAGAAGTGCCTTGCCAGCCTTCACCACTTGGGCCTCACTTGAGCCATGGTGTTTGAAGAAAGGTAGAATTTGAGTCTTCAGTGGACACTATCTCTATATCCCTAATATGAATCCAAGGCACACAGTACAAGGAATTAGTTTTGAGGAGTTGTAGAAAAGGAGAAAGGTCTAGGAACTGGGAAGGGGTTGGAATATCCCTAAGTTGGGTCTTTATTTATTTGCCAAGTTTTTTTCAAGTGACCTTAGTTCTGTGAACTTCCTGTGATTTATACCATAGCATGAGGCTAAAATAGTTCATGTGCTTATTCACATATAATTTCCAAATAGTCCATTTGGGATGGTGAAGCAAAAAGAGTGAATAAGCATTCTATTTCAGATAAACTCTCCTTAATATTATAATGAACTTTTATTTCCACCCTAGAAACATTATTTGATGTCTATATCAATACTATATCCTTATGTAATATTCAGATTACATCCTTATGTAATAATTATAGTACATACAATTTACTAGTTCATAGATACATTTATATAAAATTTTTCTACTTTCCTTGATTAAATAAATTTATAGCTTGCTACTTATGGTGCTAATCATCACTTTCTAATAAGAGTAAATCAATAATGAACCAATTAATTCTTTTAATGTTATCCAAAACATTGACAAGTTGATTGTAAGAATGATGTTCTCGATAAATGTAAATCATCTCTGTTCATAAAACTAATTATTACACATCTAGCATTTTGATGCTCACGAGTTTTTCTTGAGTTTATTAGTAAGCCTGTACAGTGGCAAATGTAAAAACAAGTCTCGAATTTTACAAAGAGGGAAAAAATAGGAGCATCTGGTAGCAGGAATTTAAGAAGGGCCTGACTGATCCTGTGATGTTTATACATTGTTTCAGTTTTAGATATGCTTACGCCCTCGGGTCATGAGGGTCATCTGCAGTAAGAGAGTCATCCAGGAAACAGGTCTCCAGCACTTGTTTTTATCTGGCTTCATTTACTCCTGAAAATTCAGTAAAATAAGAACTAACATTGATTGAACACTTAAAGATGAACCCATCAATATTCTAAGCCCTTTACATGTATTACTTCATATAACGCTCGCCTCACCTCCATGGGGAAGATGTTATCACCAACCCTACTTTGCATACAGAAATTGACAGAGAGGTTCAACTCTTTGCCCAAATCACCCAGCTAGTAAGTGACAGATCTGGATTTAATTCAAGGCCATCTAGTTTCAGAGCCTATGTATGCTCTTAACTCCACTAAATTAAGCCTGAATTTATCTTTTGTAAAAAAACATAACCTGAAACATTAGCATCCCTTTCTGAAGAAATCATAATATTTGAAACCCCTTTTAGTTAAATTACAGTGGTTCCCAAACTTATTTGGCCTACCACCCCCTTTCCAGGAAAAATATTACTCAGCCCCTGGAAATTAATTTTTTTTAAATTTTAATAGCAGTTACTCATCGCCCCCAAATGCACCTGTGGCCATCACCGCCCCCCTGGATCGCTGCAACGCCCACCGGGGGGCGGTAGCGCCCACTTTGGGAATCACTGAGTTAAAATAAACAGAAATGAAAGAAAGTTAAGATGTAATCCTGCTCAACGCCTTATTTTGAAAATAAGGCCAATGAGGACCTCAGAGGTGAATTGTTTACTCACTTTCACACAATAGTCAGGAGCAGAGGCAAGACTAAGGTATGTAATTTACTCTCTCCAGGGGTGGGCAAACTTTTTGACTCGAGGGCCACAATGGGTTCTTAAACTGGACCAGAGGGCCGGAACAAAAGCATGGATGGAGTGTTTGTGTGAACTAATATAAATTCAAAGTAAACATCATTACATAAAAGGGTACGGTCTTTTTTTTTTTTTTTTGGTTTTATTCATTTCAAACGGGCCGGATCCGGCCCTCGGGCCGTAGTTTGCCTACGGCTGCGTCTAGTCCAAAGTACTTTGCACTACATCAGGCTGCTTCATTTATCCCTGAAAGTTTGAAAGGTTAGTCTTATCTTAGATGAGGAAAAAATATATTTTTACATTGAGTTTGTTCAGATGACTCAAATTCATTGTGATGGGATTAAAAATTTTTACCAGATGCCTTAGAGATTTAGTTAATATAAAATAGTATATTTAAAACATTCTAACATAGTTCCTTACAAGTGATATATTGTTTGCTTGAATGTGCAACTTTCAGAAGATATGATAGTATAAGAATTCTCTATCGGATGTTAGTTCAAATAGCTCAATTTAAAAGAAGCACTACTCTAGGACTTATATATAATAAGTATAAGAATTAGACAAAAATATTAAAGCAAGTTGGAAGTTTAGTACCTAGTATCTCTCAGTCACAGAGCCAAAAGGAGATGAAGATAATTATCAAAAGACGGGTTATTCCAAATTAAATAGATAATCTTGGATTACTTTTGGGTCAAATCTCTGGTTTCTGATCATCCTTATGTAATATTCAGAACACTGTGGTTTCTCTGTCTGAACCTTAAAAAGCTGAGCTCAGTGATCAACGTGCTATAATTCATCAGAAAAAAATTTCCTAGACACATGAATCTGTTATGGATCAGAACTGAAACTCATCAAGTTCAGGGCTTGTGTAGGCTCTTTACAAACTAGTATTGGCCAATTGGGTTCCCCAAAAGTTTTCAAACCCATTTTGAGTTGTGTAATTTTCTAATATTCTCATGGAAGCCCCCCATTTTTTTCTGACTAGTTCAAGAAAAGTGTTCTAGAATAAGTCAACTGAATCTGTTGGGTTGTGATGGCAGACTCCACTAAGGAGATTTTGGAGCTCCAGGTACTATTGCATTTCTGTAAGACCCATTTTCTAGATAAAATCAGGGAAGATAATGGCTTTTTCTCCTGACTCCAGGAGTTGTCAGATGTGTAAAAGGCAGGAAAGTAGAGTGGTTAAGAGTCCCAGCTTTGGAGCCTGATTGTATGGAATTGCCAAAGCAAGGCCTTGAAAGGGCTGACAGGTGATGTAGCTGAGTGATGAAAACAAGGTGTGAGGAACAGAGAGGACATGCCCTACACAACGAGGCAGCAGCTTAGTTCCATGTAAAAATGACCTAGCTCTGGAATGTAAGGGCAGTCAGCTCACCTGGGTAGGATTTTACATTACACATTACATTACATTACACATTACATTACTTTACATTACATTACATTACATTACATTACATTGTTTCCAAACATGTGCAGGCCAGACAAAACATGGCTGCTGGCCAGATGTAGCCTGAGGGCCAGTGTGAGATTGTGAAAAGCCTGGTGCCCCACATAGATGAGCAGGACTGTGCTCCGAGTACCAGGTAACACTCTCTCCCTGCTTGCAAGTCAATGAAAGCCTGCTACGCTGGGTGTGCAGCAAAACTGTTTTCTTTCTTTAAAGATTCATGAAGATTCAACTTTTATTTTGTGAAACATTTGAAGATGGAGGAGAAGGAGAGGGATACAATAATCTTTAATTCCATGTTACATAAACTGAGCTAAAATCCTATAAGATAGCCGAAACTGGTTTGGCTCAGTGGATAGAGCATCGGCCTGCGGACTGAAAGGTCCCAGGTTCGATTCCGGTCAAGGGCATGTACCTGGGTTGCGGGCACATCCCCAGTGGGAGATGTGCAGGAGGCGGCTGATCGATGTTTCTCTCTCATCGATGTTTCTAGCTCTCTATCTCTCTCCCTTCCTCTCTGTAAAAAATCAATAAAATATATTAAAAAAAAAATCCTATAAGATAAAAGGGTAATATGCAAATTACCTTAATGGTGGAACAACCAGAAATGACCAGTCGCTATGACATGCACTGACCACCAGGGGGCAAACGCTCAATGCAGGAGCTGCCCCTTGGTGGTCAGTGTGCTCCCACAGGGGGAGCTCTGCTCAGCCACAAGCTGGGCTGATGGCTGCGAGTGCAGAGGCAGTGGCAGGAGCCTCTCCTACCTCCTCGGCAGTGCTAAGGATGTCCGACTGCAGCTTAGGCGGGCCTAAGCTGCAGTCAGACATAACCTGAGGGCTCCCAGGTTATCAGAGAGATGATGTCCAACTGCCAGCTTAGTTCTGAGGTGTCCCGGGCTGCGAGTGGGTACAGGCCAGGCTGAGGGACCCCACCGAGTGCATGAATTTTCGTGCACTGGGACTCTAGTATGAAATATTATCTAAGAATACTAGGCATGGGGAGTTCTGCCACATCATTCAGTGACTGTAAATTACCTAGCAGAGTGAAGGTGGGGCTTCTCAGGGGCCGTGCTAGCTTTAGTTCTTTTACTACAGGGTAAGCATTTTAGAAGGGTCTCTGAGGAAAAGGTAATGCTTTGTTTGTTGCCTTGAAAATCTATTTAACACAGATTGATTTACCACTTATGTTATTTTCAAACATGCCACGTGTACTTCGTTTCTTCAGCAGAACACTATCTGGTTTTATTTCATCTATTCATAATTAAAACTTATGCAAGGGAAAAGAGGAAAAAATAGAATAATACATTTGTTAGAAACATCTTAAAACGAAGTTTAATTAATTCGTAACCTATGCTACCCTAATTAGTACAGCTTTGGATTTCAGTACAATACTTACATTTAATTAAAACATTTTCCTTTTTTAAGGCCCTTTCATCCTTGTTTGGAATTAAGCAGGATTTTTATTTTCAAATATCCCTTCCTTCCACTCGAATCCTTAAAGGTCCGGCTCAGACCAGGCCTCCTCATGAAGGTCTCTATGTCTCAGCTCATCCTGTTCTCCTCTTCCTCTGAACTATTCCTTTATTGAAAGTTAGTACCATTACATTTAGGATTAATAATCCTCTAGAGCAAGGGTGGGGAACCTTTTTTCTGCCAAGAGCCATTTGGATATTTATAACATCATTCAAGGGCCATATAAAATTATCAACTTAAAAATTAGCCTGCTATATTTGGTCAAACATTTAATTAACTCACCCCTAATGCCTTGACAGGGGCAAACCAAATGATTTCATTGGCCTGATACCAAATAATTTCACAGGCCTCTAGAGTATAGTTACCCTGATTATAATCTATATTTGCCTGGAAGGGTCTGTGTAATATTTCTGCTTATGTATTTTGTGTTTATCTAGAAAAAGAAACCTAAGGAAAAGATGACCTTTTTTTTTTTATTTTCAGAGTGAACTATATAGCATTTATGTAGCCATAACTGTCTCATATAAGGACTGTATTCAACTAAAGAACTCACCAGTAATGGGTTTGGCGCAGGCTACACACTTTTTGGCATAAAGACGGTTGTAGCAGTCCAAGCAGAATGGATAATCATCTCTGGACATAAACTCTTCATCACAGAGCTCTTTCCTGCAGCCGCTACACAGAAAACACTCTTTATGCCATGGCTGGTCATGAAATGTTATCCAACCTGAAGTTATCACCTGCAAAAGGATCACAAAAAAAGGTAATGACCGTGGGAGCTGTAAGAATTCAGACCTTTTGTGATGCTCTTCTATGTCCACAGGTGATTCTTTGGGCTACTTGATCATCTTGTGTCAGGCTGTCCTTTTTCTAAGATTTTTTTTGGGATGGATATGAGAAGCAAAAGGCTATAGAGATATGAACTGGTGATACATATCCTAATTTTTCTCCCATATGGAACAGAAAGGAAACAGGGATATAATGGATCCAGAAAAAAGAAAAAGAAGTCAGCTATTGATTTCATTTCTTATCTTTCTATGACTTTCTTGTTGGTCATCAAAGATCTGCCATTAGATCTAAAATATTTTCTATGCTCTGTTCTTATTTCCATGTTTACCTTTTAAGGATGCTGAATAAAAAGCTTTTTTCCTGAAGGCTTTCCTCCAGGCTCAAGAATATCCAGCAGTAACAGCCCTGAATGGAATGGATAAGCGCCATCATCTGTTAGTAACGAGCTAAACTTAAGTGTTTTTTCCGTCTTCAGCCCTGTGCTAAGGGATGGCCTCTTCTTACTATTCTCAACATACTTACACAGTAGGGACTATTATCTTTCCCCTTTATGAGATGAGCAAGTACTTGGGGTTAGAGTAGTTGTCCCTTGCCAGGGACACACAGAGCTAGCATTCAAACCTGCACAATCTGATCCCAGAGCTCATGTGCTTAAACATTAATACAATACTGAGGCAAGATAACTTTGCAATGGTAAACAGTTGATAAGTCCTTGTTGAATGAGTGAATAAACACCAAGGGGAAAAGTGTTTGGAAAGCAATTCCAATATTGTATCTAGCACAAATGGTATACTGTGGGCAACAGTATACGTTTTCAGCGTTAAGGCTCTAAGAGCACTGGTTGTACATTGATGTGTGATGTGCTAGAGTTTTGTCAGAGATGGTTATTATTCCTCCATAATATACGGGTGTTTTTCTATACCAGTTGAATCCTTGGGTTCTACTTTTTAAAAGGCAGAGACATCTTTCTTTGGGATAATATAGGTAAAAACTTGTGTAACAATTTTTAAGTCATAGCACCTTTCAGAACCATGGCTATTGACCTGCAGTAGCTGTGGAACTTGGAATGTGTTCATGTAAATGTCTTATATTATAAGTGGTTCATTATAAGACAGAGGTTCTCAACCTTCCTAATGCCGCAACCCTTGAATACAGTTCCTCATGTGGTGACCCCCAATTTCATTGTTATAAATTGAACATAATTAAAGCATAATGATTAATCACAAAAACAATATGTAATTATATATGTGTTTTCCAATTGTCTTGGCGACCCCTGTGAAAGGGTCGTTCAACCCCCAAAGGGGTCGTGACCCACAGGTTGAGAACCACTGTCTTATAATGACTGAAGCAATGTTGTAGCTGAGATGGTTCTTGTAACCTTTGTATTTCAATGAAGTAGATAAGCCATTAAAATGTCATTTGCCTGTGATAGAGGGTTTTAAAATGATTATTCTAAAGGTATTTTAAAATATAACAAAAATATCTTAAAAATTAGTTATTTTTCCTAAAGGGAAAAAAGTACACTATTCTAAATAAGTAAATGGGAAACATGATGGTGTGTGTGAACACAAGTAATTTAAAATACTCCCTACTGACTTTAAATGCCTTAGAGCAGGCACAGCAGAATTCAAGATTCCTTTGATTTGTTTGGTCAAATGATTAGCAGGCAATGCTTAAAAGATTCAAACTTGAAAAAATGTGTTCACAGCAAAGTAAAACTTGAAATGTACAGCAAAGACTGTTTAATTAGGGAGAAGACACTCTGGGGCATTAAAACAGATTGCTTGTGATCATGTTCCTTTTGAAGAGGCAGGTGGGCTAAAATGAAGTCTAATATCTAAGCTTAGTTTTTGCCACTGATTGATGCCAGGATTTAGATCAAGTTTCTTCTCTGACAAAGTGGAGGCAATAATGATTTTACATTCAGTAGATAACAGCTGATAAATTGCAGAATAGTCTATTTGAACCTTGAGAAGTTTGAATTCAAAGCACTTGTAGTTTGAGGTTACTTGCTGTCGGGTAGAAAATAAAATTTAGTTTCACAAAATAAAATTTATGAAAAAACTTCTAAGAGCCTGATTGACAAGTAGTTTTTGCCTAATTTTTAAAAAATATTTGATCTTTGGTTAGATTGAAACGAATTGTTTTTCTTCCGATTGGATCATTTTGATGAGAAACGTTTATATCTGGCTTTCCTTAAAGGATTTATGGCTTAAAAACTTAAACAGAAAATAATCTGGCTTGTCATGATCTGTCTACTATCCAATATAAACATTTTATAAATTTTTAGTGACTTCAAACCATGTCCTAAATATAGGACAGGTTCCTATAACCTGGGAAATGCCAGAGGTTTGGCCCCAGACAGTGCTCAGCAGCTGATGTACTAGAGAAGTTCCTTTCTTGAATCTTTACAGTATTCTAATGAACTTTATATTGTGTGCCCAATAAATGACGTTAAGATAATTCCCATAAGTCTCATTACTATTTTAGAGTAAATCTTTAAGAAACAGTCAAAAAATGGCCAACTTCATTGCCCCTCAAAATAGTGAGATAAATCTATTCATTTTTATTTAGGGCATCTGTTTCTAAATGTGTCATTGACTCTGATAATTCTTTGGAGCTTCACATGTCACAGGGTCATAGGGTCTGACTATTGCTTTTGAAGTCATTTTCCAAGTCAGTGTTTCTGGTAGCGTAATGGAAGTTTCTGGGTATAAGATGTCATGTTCTATCATTTGTAAGTTTCATCCATCATTATAGTGTAATTTAAGAATTATAAGTTAGGGGTTTATTGATGCCACTTCAAATGCAGTAGTAGTAGTATTTTAAATATACCTAGAAAATTACTGTGTGTGTTTGTATGCATGTATGTTTATTTATGCATTTGTAGAAAGTGGTAATGAGACGACTAGCTTTCCAGATGCAAGAATACAAAAGGTCTTAAAAGATCTGCCAAAGTAGCCCATATATCAAAAGTGTTGAGAAATCACTGTAGTAATCCAATGTATTTTCATGATTCAGCTTTCTCATCACAATTTATAGTGCTATTTTAAACTTATGATGCCTCAGGGTCAAGGATTTCTTTGAGAACATCAATATATATTTTATAGACTACAGACAGGTTTTGTAAAGGTGACAGAGATGAGCGACTTTTTCACAAAAGAAGCTTAGAGGATAAAAAAGAATTGGGCAAAGTCTACTCGAAAAAAAAATGACTTTTTTTTTCTTTTGGAAAATATGTTTGGAATGAATATCAAAGTTAAAGGAAGTGAAGGCAGCCACACAAAGGTCTTAGTCTTCTGTCTTTTTATTTAATGAATTTCCCTAATGATCTCCCTTGAGCCTCCCTATCTACTCTTTAGAAACATAAAAGCTTCAAGCAAGAAGACATTTGTATTGCTGAGACATAATGTGAGGAGTTAAACATCTTGTTTAAATTGGTTCACTTCATCACTCTGTGAGACAAACCCGTATTTCTCTGCAATGAAATGGATCAAAAATTATTTTCTTTGCAATATTTAGTTCAAAGGGAGGTGTGTGTTCTCTACTAGAATACATGAAATTAGTGGAAAGCAGTGAATGGAACTGGACTACCAAGTCACTTAAGATGTTGGAATATTAAATTAATGTTCTGGATGGAATTTTATGGTGAGAAAAACAGATGATCATCCTCAATGCGACAGGTAGTGCTTTGGACATGTTGGAATTCACACTAAAGACAAATGTAACCTGGTGGTATCAGTTCACTTCCACTATATAGTACAGCTAAAAGGCAGTGGTCTGGAAGATTCCACAAACTTTATCCTCTTTAGATAATTACCTTCTTACAAAAGTTGCAGTAGTGAGCAAACTCCTTCTGAAAACACCGCACACAGTAATTGCCATTCTCTTTGGAAATCAAAGGTTTAGTTCCTATTGGCTGACGGCAATGCTCACACACAAAACAGGTTTCATGCCAGTAGTTTCCCTTAAATTCCATTTTGCGGGAACCTGTACCCCAAAATTAATAACCTGTTAGTACAAATCAAGCATAACTTTATAGCCTTTTAAGCGAAGATATGTCAAATTATTTAAAATATATATTTTAAAGTTAAGGTGATAAATTACTTATCCTTATAAAAATAATGTTTTGTTGGCTTCCAAAATATTTATCTGGGGAATAAAAAGTAAATAGAGTTCAGACATGATGACGGTTAGTCACTCTTTCACTGAAAACTCTTGTGCTTTGGAAGCTACAATTTTGAAATGTGAAAGTGTTATAAGTAGAGACTCTGAAAGGCTGCATGTAGTTTAGATAAATTGGGCCATAATCATCCTTACAGGACTTTTAGGAATGCCAAGGGCACAAACTCATAAGATTGATGTTGTGCAGTTATGATCAACTAGAAAATATTTGAATCCATAATAAGAAAATAAGAGAGTCATGTTCTTATGCTGCTGTCTATACGGATTGAGAAAAAGGTCAAAATCATAGAGAATTAGTGCTTGCCTAAACGTGTAATGATTACATGGATCCTTGTTTTCCCTAAGAGAGAACAACACTGCCATTGGTTATATCTAGGACGGGGTGTGTAATGCTATGTTAGCATTATTGGTATAGATTTTATCTTTACTCTATGGCTCACATGCTCATTCAAAATGTTTCTATGACCTAAGTTTAATTTACCCATTCAAGACAGAAATAATAATGATCTATTTCTACAGTATACTAAATGAGATCAAGGGATAGCAAGAAAGGTATTTTTCTCAGAACCAGGTTTTTGTTGTTAGCTAGTATTCTCTTCTGTGCTTGGGCTTAATTGAAAGCACAGTTACTTCAGTTAGTGACCAGAACTCCCTGTGGATCTTACCAGGCATGATGGTCTTCTTGCAGTGGAAGCACTTGGAGGAGCACTCATTAGAATAGCACTCCGAGCAGAGCAGGCGCTCATCCTTGGCAGCAAAAGGCTTTTCCACCAAAGAGTGATTGCATTTGGCACAGTTGAAGCATCTTTCATGCCAGTGCCGGCCTTTGTAACAAAGATCCTTGGAGACAGTGAATAAAAGTTAATTAAATGTGTTTCAACGAAACCAGCCATTTTATAAGACAAAACTAAACACTCCTGGGACTCTGGTGCCAGTAGGTTGTGTTGGTAGCTTGAGGGAAAGTTGTTATTGATACTGTTACCCATTGAGAGGAGACTGGGGCAATTAAGAGCTAGAGCCTGGGGCTTTGTTGGTTGATTACTGAAGACAGATGGAAAATAAGTGGACCCTCTCCTATTTCTTCAAATTTCCTATACCTTCTTTTTATAAACAAGAGAGGCTTGTCATGGAATAATCTTTACTTTTATTTTATTTTTAAATATTTTTATTGTTTTTTAGAGAGACAAGAAGGGAGAAAAAGAGAGAGAAACATAGATATGAGAGTGAAACATTGATCACTGCCTCCTGCACACCCCTTACCAGAGATCAAGCCCAAAACTTGGGCAGGTGCCCTGACCCAGAATCAAACCGGCAACGATGCCCAACCAATTGAGCTACACTGGCTAGAGCCAATCTTTACTTTTAGGGTGTTATATCTTACTAGAGGCCCGATGCATGAAATTCATGCAAGAGAAGGCCTTCCTTCCCATGGCTGCCGGCACCACCTTCCCTCTGGCAACTGGGACCCGGGCTTCCCTTGCAGCCCCAGCTTTATCTGGAAGGATGACTGGAAAGACGTCCAGTCTAATTAGCATATTATGGTATTATTATCATAGATTATTATTTGAGATTTAACTAAACAAAATCTCAACACCACCTAGCTAAAACAAAGGCAAAATAAATGAAAACGAAAAAATGCAATAATTTGCTTTGTAGGAGGAATGAGTTATATGTGTGAAAGGCATCAGGGCACAATGGGTGTGGAAATGAGGCTGATTTGAAGCCAGAAAATAGATTCTTTAATCTTTACACATCCTATTATCTATGTATTTATTCATTTATACTCTTGTGATTCCAGAAATAACTCAACATTTTATTGGTGTAACTTTGGACAAATAGCCTCTTTAATATTTAGCATCCTAAACTGTCTCCTAAAATCATTGCAAAGATTAAAGTATATGTTATATTTAATAGTGCTAAGCATAGTGCCTAGAATTTGGTTGATGGTAACTTTGAAGATCCTTATACCCAGTAGCAGAGCTGTAGAGTATTAACCGTTAACTAAAGGAAAAGAGGCTTTCCAAAGCATTTGTCTGCTCATATGCAATAATTCTGTGAACTGACAGAAGACCTACCTTGGAACCTGATTCAATTGCTTCTTTGCACTCCTCACAATAGTTACAAAAGACGCGATCATAACATTTGATGCAGTATGGATTGCCATCCTTTAGCATAAATTTCTTCCCAAGAAGTGATGCTGAGCAGTATTGACAGTCAAATTGAGAAGCTGTCATTTTGCTTCAATCCTGTGAATAAGAAAATGATCCACGTATATAAAAGCAAGTTTTGTTGATGAGAGAGATTATAAAGCCTCAATACAATGTGAGTCAAGCACTGAAATGAATTTGTATTTTCTTTTTAAAAAAATATATTTCTTTATTGATTTCAGAGAGGAAGGGAGAGAGAGAGCGAGAGATAGAAACATCAATGATGAGAGAGAATCATTGATCAGCTGCCTCCTGCACGCCCCCTACTGGGGATTGAGCCCGCAACCCAGGCATGTGCCGTTGGCTGGAATCGAACCTGGGACCCTTCAGGCCGCAGGCTGACGCTCAATCCACTGAGCAAAGCTGGCTAGGGCTGAATTTGTATTTTCTTAAGAGAAAATTCACCAGTTTAGGAACATACGCAGTAGCCATGCTGACACTGGGAGGGATTTGGGAAAGGCTACTCTCTGATCCTGCCAGTTTTGTGTGCTTTGCTAACAAAATGCATGCAGCGGGCATCCAGATTGTGGAAAACGTCTTGCATTCATCATTCACTAAATGTGGAATTCAATGAGAATGTGCTATGTGTTGAAATAGGATGGTTCCACCTCAGGGATATAAATATGAAGTGTTGATAGGGCTTTCACTAGCTGTCATCACTATTTTGCTGGAGAGGTCTGGAGGCGGAATTCCGTGGAAATAAGAAGTCTTTTTTACTCTAACTGCAATAGAAGTTATTAAACAAGTACAGTACATTTTCTAGGCCATTCTTTTAGTTCTTAAATCTTTGTTGGGTACCTAATGATTTAGACACGTTAGTCCTAAGATCTTCCTGTACCATTTACTCTCCTTTGGGACATGCTACCTACTTGTGGCTTCAAATATTCCATTGACTCCAAAATCTATAGCTTTAGCCTGTTTATGACTTGCTTCCTGGACATCTCATTTAAATGTCCCACCCCAATACCAAGATGACCAAATAAAACTCCTCAGCTGGGAGGATGCAGTCCAAGCACCAGGTCTTTTTTTTTTTTATTTATATATTTATTTTATTTTTTTTCTTTTTTAATTTTTTTACTGCTTAAAGTATTACAAAGGGTATTGCATATGTGTCCTTTTTTTCCCCACCCTTGACAATCCCCTGGCCTCCCCTACCCCCCAGTGTCTTATGTCCATTGGTTATGCTTATATGCATGCATACAAGTCCTTCGGTTGATCTCTTACCCCCCTCCCTCCTGCCCCCCAA